GATTCAGATTAGATATTTCTATTAGGAAAAAATTCTTCACTATGAGGATGGTGAGTCACTGGCACAGGGCGTCCAGGGAAGCTGTGGCTGCCCCATTACTGGTAATGTTCAAGGCCAGGTTGGAAGGGGCTGGAATTGATTCTAGATGTTGGATCGACTCAGTTTCCAGTTAATTTGTCTGTAACATACAAAAAACTGTGCGACAATATTCAAACACAAAAGGAACTCAGTAGGTACATCTACACCTTCTTTGGATTGCTGGCCTGAATTCAATCTCAAAATAAGATCACCCTGTTCATAGGCAATGATGGGCCAGCCAGCCTCATAAGTAGCTGCAGGGCACTCTTCAGGGATTCAGAAACCTGTGGGTAAGACAGACCCACATATGCAGCTCACAAACTGCATGCAGACCATATGAATCATGTAAATCAGGCTGCTTCCAGGCTGTTCTTTAAGACTGGCATATGCATAGCCAAAATGAAGGACCAGTTGTCACCAGTGCCTGAAGAAGAGTTCCATTAAACCACAGCCCACAGATACCACTCAGAATCAAATGGGAAAAAAAACCTGCACAACTTCGCACTTTAAATCTACGTCATTCTAATGCACTACCAATGATGGTTCCTCATTCAACACCCATCTGTACTTAAACCCAAATAGCAGCTGTTTCTGCAAGAGGTAATGACTCTTTTATGTTGAAATTTAACTTTTATATAAAGAAAAATGTTCTTCCTTTTTTTCTGAACTGAATCATGGGTCTAAAATGGAAAATTAAAGTCACTGAATTAAGACTTTTGCAGTTACAACCATGTGACCACCCATGCCTCAGATCCCAAGACACTTCAGAATAGTTTACAGTAACTGTAAAAGTTATAACAAAGTACCAAACCCTTCTAGGTGGAATTCAGGCTGGATAACAAGAAAACATGGTAAATATCAACTTCTTGTGCTCTAACAATTGCAGAAACCTGTTACCTGCCATTCTGGCATGACACTAATAAACAAACCTCTTCTCTGCTCCTGAAGAAGGTAAACAAATAGAAATACCCAACCTCAAAAACAGGTAATTATCCCTATCTTTATTCATTACCCAAGAAGAACATTTCTCATTGGAATATAAGTTGGGTGATCAGCTTAGACCTGAATAAACAAGCAAAACATCATGGATATGATATATGGAAAGTTTTAATTCTACTGGGAGCAACTACTCTGTTTCCTCTCTTTAGTGCCCAGATGTATAACATGCCTAGCACAGCAAATGGCAGCCCAAATCACTGAAATCCTATCCTTCAGTTTTAGAGTTGAAAGTTTTAGGATACCATAGAAGATAAAATATAGTTATACAGATTTGTGTGCTTTGTTTTCATTACTTCTAAATTTATGCTATTAAACACATTTACAGCTATAAAATCGGTAAAAAATCACTACAGCAATAGACGAAGTCCCATGATTCTTATCTAAATAAAGCAGACTCTTTAGGGATTTTGCTTGAAATCATGACCTTTTTTAGTACAGTATAAGGATTTGAATTATATTTACCTTACAAATATGGCAACCCACATTAGCTAAAAAATTCAAAAAAAGTCTTTGTTAACACTCTTAATAAACAGATTGATAGAATTTGTTCTAAGTGTTGAAGTTTAAATGTACAATTTCTACCGTGAAGCTGACAGGCTGTTGACAGATGTGTCTTTGCATTAGTTTCATGAATACAAAATTTCTGCTGAGTCTTTATGCACTGCTTAGCTGTAGATGTTGTATGTGTGTGACAACCCATGTGCAAGATCTTCTGCAATTTGCTTCTGTTTAGCTGAGCAAGCATTTTGCATCCAAAGTAAAAAGGAAAACAACTTCCATCTTTGATTACACATATGCAATGTGTACAAGCGCCCAAGTTGACTCTGACTGGCATGTGACTTGATTCTGTAATGCAGTGGTGTAATGTTATTTCTTTATTAAACTAGACAGGTACTCACAATTTCTTATTGCTGCTGGACAAAATTCAATCTCCACTTCCAAAGTCTACTAACACTTTCCAGTGCCCTCATGGAAACCATTACTAGGGCTTTGCACTCTGTGGAATCCTAGCACACTGGACTGCTGGACAGTCTATCAAAATCAAGGCTAGAGAGCTCACTGCCAGTGGGAGCTCAAGTGGCACAAAGCTCACAAAACAGGAAAACCAGGTATCTTTGCAAAATACCAATTCCAGGTGGGTGGCTTCCACAATGTTTTTGGTGCTGACAACCCATAGCTCACACTTTTTCTTGGACACAGCTACACTTGATTACTAATGTACATCACAGAAATGGATAGCACATAAGAACTACCAGCTAGGACATAATGGAAAACAATACTTTCACTTTGGATGAATAGTAAGCCATCGTTTATGTTCATTCAATAGCTGTTCATATAGAGCCAATGACTATGATAGACAGTAAGTGAAAATGCAATGTAAACATATACCTTATCTGAAAATTAAATTTGCATCATTAAAAGCAATATTATCTGGATACTTATTATTAGGTGATTAGCTACTGGGTTATTTTTCAGCCTTTCAGACTAGATTAGATAAAACATTTTAATACCTTCCTATAAAAGGTACATTAAAAAAAAATTGTATTCAAAGCAGCAGTACAAAACCATACAGAGCTAACTCAATCATCTTTGTCACAATCTCCATAATCTTTTTTCTTGAAATGTTGTAATGTTGTACATGAATGATGAAACTGCACTGCCTGAGGCACAAGGTATCATTTCATTGTAAGACTTAGAAAAACACCAGTTTTATTCCTTTCCTTTTAGCCCCACTGATTGCATAAGGAACAACTTTTTTGATAAACTGTCATAAAAAAAGCCTGTGAAACATACACATGAACACATGAACACCCTTTTCACCTGCAGTATTTATGAATGCAAAGACATAACCCTGAAACAAGAACTGCTAAAAAAGTGATGGGATATTCATTCATGCAAAGAATATTCATATACACACTCCATTTCCGTATGGTAGTGAAAGAACAATCTTTATTCGTTTATGTTCAGCTCTAGTAACTTCTCCTTTCCAGAATGAGATGTTTCACAAGTTTTTCTGCACTGAACTTTACTCTTTGACTGCCATAACTGATTCTTTCTACCTTTCCCTTTCTATAATTCGGCAATTAGGAGCTCTCCAGTCAGGAGGCACAAAAGTATACACAGAGAATCAACAAAGACTTCAACTATTGTGGGCACTGTACAAAGAAAGAATGATAAAACATTCCCAGTGTCAAAATTATTTTTTAAATTATCCAAAAGCTATCCTGTATTTAAACTTGAGTATAACAATGATGTGTTGCTATAATTATACCATTCTAAAGCTGAAAAAAAAGTTAAAAAGGTTTATGCTTTGCCAACAGTGACACTGTGTATGCTACTTTTAGGAAGAGCTTTCGAGTGTGGCAAAATGTACAAAAGAAGAAATCACTATCCACTCTTTCCTGAGCTTCCAAGATGATACAATCCTAAAATCAGGTTCTCAGCTAGTATAAACATATAGATGTCCAAACATATATCATCCATCATGGATGAAGTTATCATCTGTCAAAGTATACAATTCATATCAAATATATATGTATTTATGAAACAAGTGAACTGAACAATTTGTCTTCAGGAACAGTTTCACTACACTGACATTTTACAATATTATACCTACTCTCCAATGTGTAGTAGAAGCCAGTACACTTGAGTAACATTCTTGAAAATGCTATTCCAGTCTACATGAAACTTTAGTACTTGTGCTACAGTTTCCCCAGCGTACTAACCCTGCAATAGCAAATTATGTTTATATGGGGTGCCAATGTCATGACCACAGTTATCCCTTCAGAACTCTTAAGTACCGTTTGCCAATCGGTTGCAGTATTTAATATCTGTACAAATATGTGAAGATGCAGAAACTGCTTACAGTGGGAGCCTTGGAGGGCATAATCAGCTAATTCTGCATTTGAAAGCTACCACAAATCACTAAACACAAAGAATAAACCCTCTTTATTCTATCCAGCCCATACTAATCACTCATGTATTTGCACATGACTGAATATAAGATAGAATTGCTGAAGAACTTGAATGGCAACTCGTGCAGACCTCTGACAAATAAGATACTGACCCTGCAACTGAAAGAAGGGAATGGACTTGGACAAAAGGACAACCAAAACCATGCTAAATTATAAAGGATTTTTTTTTTTTTTTTTTAGGCAGGACTTGTTTCTCTTGCTAATAAATAAGAGACTGGTTCCCAAATCAGAAATCTTACTTGTCATTTCTCAAGGAAAAGGAATACTGCAGAAATGAAAACTTTGTCCTGATGATGTCAGCCTTATTCAAAATTGCCTCCTCTAACCTCACAAGGAACAGCCCTCAACACTTGCATAACTTCTTGATAATCCTCCTTATCCAAAACAAAAAAACACATGGCTTTTTGGTATGAGAACTTTTGGTGTGGGAGACAGAACATTACCCACTGAGTCACAAATAGACAAGAAACCTCATGAGGGTTAAAAAGGACAGCTAACTAAGGTAATTATAAATCTGGTGTTAGCTACTTCTCAGAAGGCACATGCAGTAATTTCAAGGTAAACGCACTTCAGACCATGCCACAAGAGCTGAGTATGCTTAGAAGGAAAATGGTTTTCATTTACTTAATGAAAATGGATTATCACTAACCACTTTATGTAAAACCTGAAGAGCCTTCCAAATTCTGAACAAGAATTTGTTGTGCTTTTTCCCTGAATCTTAGTAAGAACATAATACAAATTGTTTTAATTCCAGGGAAAGCAATGAAGCAAATGACCATTACTTTAGATAGCAGATGTTCCTTGGGAATTTTTAGCAAGGTGAGCAAAAAGACTACATTCACAGGTACTGCAAATGACTGTGTCAGCCCTCATGCTGTACTGATAACTGTAGAATTGCATATTAAAAAAAAGAATTAAAAAAAAAAAAAGAAAGCAAGTACTTCTTACCATGTAACCCTCAGTGTACTGAAACTGAGCTCTTGAACTGTCTTCTGCTGTGGGACTCAGGGGCTTAGGGTCAGACATAGAGCGTTGCATCATCTTTGCTGCCTTTGGGCTTGATGGAGGAACCTTGGCAATGTCAGCATGCAGCATCTTCTGAGGGCTGATGTCATCAGTGATGGGTTTTTCATAGGGTACAAATGCTGACTCTATAACTTTGCTCGGTGAAACCGGTGAAATGGGTGAATAGAGAACTTTGGGAGATTTGGGAGGGGAAGGGACTACCTGGAGTGTGGAGTCTGGACGAAGGTGGGATGAGTATCCTATCTCTAATGGTGTTGGGCGTTTTTTATCTTTCTGAGGAGATGAAGCTGACAGATATGGGGGACTTTGAGTATCTGACTCTGTCTCAGTTTGACATCCCAAACTTTCTCCTTTATATGTCTTTTCTGGAGCTGAAATGTGTTTTATGATTTCAACCTTAGCATCCAATCGGGCCCTGACTGAAGGTGTTCTTATTGTTCCTACGGGTTCTGTTTGTACTGAAATCTCTGCCACTGTCTGAACTGCAATACTAGATACTTTAGAGAATTGTTTAGCTTTGTCTACCTCAGCAGTACTCTCACTGTATTTCCCTACACGAGGCTTCCTTCTGGATCTGCTAGAAAGATCCCATTCATCTTGATCTTCATCATCTGTCTGAACACTCGTATCAACACTTTTCTTATTTCTCCGTCTCCTGTTTGTATAACCTCTGTCTGCTCCATCTTCATCATCAGTTTGCACTCCACTGTCCACTATCTTTTTGAAGCACCGGGGCTCTCCTTCCAGGGTCTCCTCAAGCTCCTCATATGGACCACGTAATTTTGGCATAGAACTTCTCTTTTTCAACTGCTTTTCCTCTCTAACATCAATATCCTTAAGAGACATTTCTGAAGCAGAGCTTAGGATACTAGACCTGGGTATGTACTGGGTAATGCCATCAGACTGTACTGTATACCACGTTTGGCTTTGTGGAATTTCAATACCCAGGACTCCTGAAGCTGTAGTAGTTGCATCATCAGCAGGCCAAAACTGGCCATTTTCTGTGGTTGCATACTGTCCTTCCAAAAGTGTTTGATCTGTGGTAGTTTGTGGCGAACCAGTTCCTGAAGGGTCATAACCATACTGATATATTTGACGAATCTTTTGCTCCTCTAACTGTTGGTGGAGCTGTTGTTGAAGTTGTTGGAATTGCTCAAGCTGCAACTGCTGCTGGGCTAATGTCTCTTGCCTCATCATAAACTGAGCTTGTCGCTCCTCTTCTTGCTGAAATAGGAGATGATGTTTCATGGATTGCAACTCCTCAAGCTTTTTTTGCACCATAAACTTTTCTTGTTCCCTAAATCTTTGAATTTCCTGACGTTCCCATTCCAGCTCTTCTGCAAAGCGCTGCTGCTTAATTTTCTCAAGCTCAAGAAGTTCCCGTTCCAAATCAAGCTGCTGCTGTTTGCCTTCTTCAGGGGCAATAAGAAGGGCAACGTCATCTTCAATTACATCTGTATAAACTTCAGATGCTGTAGTTAAGGTGGGTATCAAGCTGGTTGGCTCAGTGGTAATAGTTTCTATAGTAAGAGGCGGTAACCCTGTCTCCATATCAATGGAAGTAATTGCACTATCTTTTTCAGCTGCCACTGTCGTCAAGAAACTGTACGATCTTGGGAGAGGCTGGCTTTGTTGCAAAGTTGATAAAGAGGGCACCGAGTCAATTGTCTGGAGAGTAGGTAAATCTCTGACAGATGTACTAAAAATAGAACCGGGTTGTGTAGTGATGGCAAATGTGGATGGGATTGGAGTTGCTACTGAAGAATAAACAACACCATTGGATGATCTTAAAACACTTCCAACGCCAAACTGGGAACCCAAAGATGATACCATTCTTGCCTGGGAATACTGCGGTGTACTGAGCCCGATGCCCGAAATCCCCTGCCGAGTCTCTGGATAAGGACCAGTAGTCTTGCTTGAGTAATCCATAACCTCACCTGAAATTACAGGGCAAAGTTACAGTCCAGTCCCACAAAAGAATGCTGCTTTGTGGATTCTGAAAGTCATCCCATCTTGATGAATTAAATAGGAAGGGAAAACTGCATGCAAATCTTCAGGTTAATGATCTACTTTAGATGTGAAGGAAACAGCATTTCTGAACATGCAGGCACATGCAGGCACGTCTGTGCAAAACACATATGTGAAATGAAGAAATGAAAAATGCGTAATCCAGAATAATTTGTCACATTGTCCAAAAGAAGACAAAACAACAGAAGGAGGGGAAAAAATAATAATAATAAAAAAATTATCCTGAAATGAGGTGAGGAACATCAAAATTATATTTCAAAGAAAGATCTGCTGCTGTGTCATACTGACCTGTAGTAACTCTTCCAGAAGTAAGATCTACTGCTGCATCAGTTGCCCCAACACGATAATCAAAGCTATTCTTGCTTTTGTATGCAAACAGTCCAGCTTCTGATAAATTTGTGTCAGACATGGATGGTTTCATACCTCCAACTCCTCGGTAGCCATAGGACCCTGAACGATCATACTGATAATGGTCATCTCTGTAACCAAAGCGATCTTCAGGAAGTGTAGTTGGCGGCTGCTGTGCTGTACAGCTCCTACCAAATGGCAATTTATAAACCACATCACAGCAGACAGCTCTTCTCCCTGCAGTCAGATCCACAGGCTTTTCATCATCTTCTATCACCGTTGTTATGATACCTGAAGTAGTTTCATCCATTGTTACTACTGTTCTGTGAGATTTTGTAGTGCTAAGATCAACTGCTCCACTCTCCATGGGATCCTGAGGAGTGGAGAGATCAGTCCAACCATTTGTAACACCAACAGGTGGCACAGTAACAGGCTTTGTAGTAGCCCATGTCACCGCATGGGTTGCAGTACCTAGGGATAAATTTATTGGCACTTCATCTCTACCTGCAGAGAATGCCTGGCTGCCTGTTACTCTGTATGCAGGCTCAAAATGCTTTGCTGTTGTTAGCTGCAGTGGTGTTGTCATCGCATGCCCCAGATCCACAAGGCTGTCTGTACTGGAAGTGTAGCTTACAGTGGCAGTGCAGGTCACTACAGTTACTGTCTCAGTGACTACAGACAGAGAAGGATCAGCAACACATGTACTAAGATTTATTATAGCTGGCTGGACAGTACTTACTGGCCTCCCACATGTATCACTTGGCGGCATTTGCCTTCTCAAGTCCATGGAAACAGCAGACAAATCCATACAACTATCTTTCATTTCGATATCCATCTTAGACAAAGTGCGAAGATCTATGACATCGCCCAGTGGATGGAATCTTCCGTTCTCTCTATACCTCGGTTGATCTCCTATGTGTAGTGGCTCTGGAGGTATAGTAATAGCGACACTATCTAAACCAAAACCAGGCACTGGGCCTTTAACCACAGACACTGTGGTCTTGGTTACCTCTGTTGTTACTACTTCTGATTTTGAACTAGGCATTTTTTTGAAAATTGACTGTGTTGTGGCTGGAATAGCTTGCAAAGCACCTGAAACATACATACTCTGATCTATCATACTTTGAATTTCCATAGTTTTCATGGGTGGAGTAAAAATTGGTTGCATAGGCTGGGGAATCTCTTCTTTAGAAAGTGGTTCTAAAGGCCAGCTGGTAACAGCCTGACTAGTTATAGCTTCTGTGGGAGTTCCAGGCTCAGATGGCAATGTGATGACAACATAGGTTTCCTGTGAGGGTTTTGTCAGCCTTGGTGAAGATTTGTTAGAATGTGGAGACAAAGGGGAAGTGGGAGATGCTATTTTGTATTCAGTTGCAGGGACCAAATTCAGAGTCATACTTGAAGTCAACGGCAAACATATTGGCTTGGGCTGCATTTCTGCTGGCTTATGAACAACTATGGGGAGTGGAGGAACTGCTGGTTTAGGAGCAATTGGAGGTTTAGTTACTTCAGTGGGCCTGTGACTGAAAACAAGCCCTGCTGGAATGGAGGATGGTTTGGGTGGTACAGGAGGTGGTGTTGGGGTGTATGTTTTTGCGATAGGTACCACATGATTCTTTAATACAGATGTGGACTCCAGTATTGGAACACTTGTGACTGAAGGTACCACTGTGGGAGCTGTTGCTGCTGGAGTCTTAATCTGTGGCTTCTTTTTGGGATAAATGGCTGGCTTGGGTAAAATAGGTGGAGGTAATGGTGGTGGAGGAGGTGGTGGAGGAGGAGGAGGAGGTAGGGGTGGAAAAGGTTGTGCAGGAGAATCCAAAGAAGAGCTTCTAAAAAGAGAGAATACTTTGGCTGTTATAGCAGGAGCTGAGGAAGGCACAGAGACCATGCTGGTCTTACTTACAACACTAGGAGTAGGTACAGAAGATATTTCTGATGCAGGCTCTGTAACTGGTACTGACACTATACATACAGGTGGCTGCTCAGATGTAGTGCTAGTTAAATTAATCCTTGTCATACCAACACCCAATTCTTCATGTGAATCTTCCTGATGAATTTTGACAATGCCAGCCTCTATTGTACTTTTGATTTTCCTAGCTGCTTCCTTTTCTGATTTGGAGGTATCAAAGGTAATGGTATCAGCTGCATATTGCTTGGGTTTTATAAGTGTAGTTGCCATTACTGAAGGTGCAGTTTCAGGCAAACAAACTGCAGGTTGATCCACACTTTGCTTATCTGATGCTATAGATGGCTTTTTAGTGGCTTCAGTAATAGATTCATAAGGCATGCTCACTTCAGAGTACTCTTTTGCAGATGTTAAAGGAACTTGGGTTATTATCCTGACACCTTCAGAATCTGCTAGCTTACATACAGCATCTGCTGTATCTACATAACCTATGGTTGCACTGTCTATAGGTGATGAGCTATCTGTGGTACAAACTGAAGATGTAGATGATGTTAAGGAAGCCGTATCAGAAGGTAATATTGACGTAGCACCTTCTGATGTCTCAGAGTATGTCAACATTGATGTTTCATGAGAAATTATTTCTTGAATTTCTCTGGCATAATCTGTTAAGTATTCATCTTCCATTTCCTCTGCTGTAAAATGCTGTGTTATTTTAACATCTGGAATAGAAAGTGCTGTGCTACTGACAGGTGATACATCTGAGATTGCTGAAGTAGTGCTTGATGTTAAGGATGTACTATCCACCATTTCTCCAACACTAGATACCTGTGTATCAGAAGTGGGAACAAAACCTGAAGTTGGTTGTGTTGGACTGGACCCTGGGGTTAGCTGCATTCTCTGTCTTTTCATAAGCTCTTCATAAGCAGCTTCTGCATCTAACAACTGCTTTTCTTCAGTGGTGGAAGTTACTGTGCTGTCTAATACAACTATTTCGTGACTTTCTGGGATAATGTAAGAACTAGAAACAATATCTTCTTGAGGCACCATAGAATGTAAAGTCTCAACACTATAGTAGTCTTTCTGTAGATCGGTAATTTTCTGTGGCTCTTCATACATCTGATCTGAAGCTCTTATTTTTTTCTCTTTACCTCTCTGTTGTATATACTCACTGCTCTCATCTTGTCTCATGACAAGATTACTATCAATAGTTCCATTGTAAGTATCTTCTACTAAAGATTCATAAATGTAATCCTCTATTAACATTCCACCATATAAAGATTCTTTTTCAAATACTTCATCTTTTTCATTTGCAATTTGAAATGACTTGGACTTGTGCATCATCTCCTCATATACCTCTTCAGCACTTTTCAATGTCTTTTGACCATTTTCTTCTTTTGGGAGTCCAATTGGTTGTTCATCTGTTGGTGAGTAGAGAGAGACAGCAGTAGGCAATTTGTAAACTTTTTGCACTTCTATTATTTTTTCTGGGCTTATCTCAAATCCTTCCGGATCTGACTCAATACTAGGTGAATATTCAGAACAGGAAGATCTGTGCAGCTCTTCCATTTCTGCTGCTTGTCGTAATTCTTCTGTTGGAGAGGCATCTTCAATTGGAGAAAGATTACTTGGTGGAGTCTTTGGATGTTCCCTTCTTCTCTGAGCTCTGAGTTCATCCTTGTCCTTTTTAGATTTTTTGCTTGAACTTTTTCTTTGTTGCTGTTCTAATTCACGCTGTTTCTCTTGTTCCTTTAGCAGCTCCTCCTCTTCCCGTAGTTCTTCTTCTTCAGAAGAATCTTCGATAGTTGGAAGAAGAGGACCATGTGACCGATGTCTGGCTTTGCGCTGTTGTTTGCTCTCCCCTCCCAGTTTTTTGTGACTAGGACTGCTGTCACTGTCTTCATCAAGTGATGACACCGAAGTAGGAGACGTACCTGGTGTAAAACTAGAAGCATGTAAACTAGAAGACCCTTCTCCTCTAGATCTATCCTCTGGTGAATCTGTAAGACTCTCCATCTCTAGCTCAGGCTCTTCATCAAAATATAAAATACCTTTCTGCTGTTCAGATGCTTCAGAATATTTAGTTGTTATTGTACTATTTAATTCTATTGTTTTGAAACGCCGAAGGCCTCCTCCTCCAGTTACCACAAGTTCTTCACTGTCTTGACTTTTAGTTTCCCTGTATTTCGGCTCTGGGCTTTCATCAAATGTCTCATCATCGTCATCATGCCATGAATGTCTTCTTCCTGCATCCTCATCATATCCTGCACTGCTCTTCCGTGTCATTCTTCTATGTTTTCCAGCTGTTCCTTTGGCTTTGCTTTTCACTTCTTCTTTCCTTTGGCTTTCAGTTACACTGATCTCTTTGAGTTGGCTTCTAATGAACTCATCATCTTCAGAACCTGAGGCATCTTCATCGGCACTCATTTCTATAATCTGTTTTCTGATGAAGTCTTCCTCATCACCTGATCCCTGACTGTCATCTCGTTTATACTCATCACTGCTTGAAGAACCAATACTAGCTCTTCTTTTTCTCCTTGGGACAGGTGAGTTTTCACTCTCACTGCTGTCTTCCACAGAATCATAGCGTTGTCTTCTTGCCAATATGTCATCTCCTCCATCTCCTTCCTTGTAGTCTGCCCGGGAGGAAGCACTTCCCTTACCATCTTCTACAATAGTTCTTTCACATTCTTGAATAGCTTCTAAGTCTTCCTCATCTGAACTGTAAGATTCTGGAGTGACTGGCAAAGGTTTTGGTTTATGTTGATCCTTTGTCTGTTCCCCATACATTTCATAAAGCTCTTTGTTCTTCACAGATTTTTCATCAGAAAGTGTACTTGCCTGAGCTTCCAGAATAGATAGTACAGTACTTTCCAATTTAGCTAGATCTGAGGGGCTTTGTGGACTTTCTTGTGAAATAGTGTCTTTTTTATGAGATTCTCTGAGTAAATCCTTTTCATCACTGGGGATATGACTTGGAATTTCACCAAGTGAACTTGATATCCCATCAGAAGAATACCCGGTGTCACTCAGACCTTGTGGACTTTTCTGTTGCTGTGAGCTTGATGTGTCTGATTTGTCATCCTCCTTTTCCTAAAAAAATAAATACATACGTGTGTGCATATATTTATATATAAATTCTTAATGTCTCCAGGCAATTAAACACATGTGGTTTGTTGTTTTTTTTTAAACATGAGTTAGTATCTCAGATGAAAAAAATATGATGTCAAGAATAATCATTTTAAACCATAAAAGGCTGAATACTAATTTTGTTCTTCAAAGCCATGAAAATACCATAAGTTCCTCAGATTTTGAGTTTTTGCATTGAATCTAAGTATGCTTTGCATGACTGTCCACTGAATTTACTATTTGCAATTGATTTTACTAGTTTTAAGATGATCTTGTATTTTTCAATATATCAAGCACTGCATTTAATTTTTTCCAGAACACTTACTGATGATAATCTATAATTTTTCATATATGCATGGGACAAATTGTTTTGAGATTAATTTAAATTACTACTTTAATTACCTTTGTTTCTAAACTGCCTACACAGTTCCAAATACAAAGTAATGTAGCTTGTCAAATGTCACTTGCAGTATTTCTGAGCTCTGCTCCTTTCTTTGCCCATTTAATATTTTCATAATTTTTAGCAATATGTCAATCATTTCAAATTTTAGTCCTAGGGTTTAGTTTTGTTGATACAAGTGTTATACATTGTACCATGCAACAGAATACATGGAGTATTGAAGCACGATTTAACGCAATTTGGAATGTCCCCATATCTGCAGTTCAGCATTGCACAAATATTTCCTGAGTACCTCATAAAGAAGAAGATTCTCAGTACATTTGTAATGCAGAGGTAAGATACTGGTAGGGAAGTATAATTACAGGGAAGAAAGCATAATGGTCAGCTATTGATCAGAGGAAATGAGGAAGCAAAGAAGGCTTGCATACCTGACACAGCATCATAACTAGTGTTTTCCTTCTCCTCCCTAATTAAACACCCATAGTCAATCTCCTAGCTTTCAGATCCTTCTATATAATTCTGAATGACATGCACCTCCATCTCCTTCTTTAGATAACAAAAAAACCAAAAATATCCTACAGCAAGTATGCCCACACTGGAGTTCCATTCCGGCTTCTCTGAACTCTGTACTTGGTGAAAGTACCTCACCATTTGACTAACAGAACAGTTCACTCTCCAAACAACAGGTCATCTGAGCTGTCAGCTGGCAATCTTATGAAGTGTCCTTACATCCACTAGCAATTTGAGAGCAAGCATCCCAAAGTCTGCTGATTTTAGAATCATAGTATCATAGAATAGTTAGGGTTGGAAAGGACCTTAAGATCATCTAGTTCCAACCCCCCTGCCATTGGCAGGGACACCTCACACTAAAACATACCACCCAAGGCTTCATCCAACCTGGCCTTTAACACCACCCGGGATGGAGCATTCACAACCTCCCTGGGCAACCCATTCCAGTGCCTCACCACCCTCACAGGAAAGAACTTCCTCCTTATATCCAATCTAAATTTCCCCTGTTTAAGTTTTAACCTGTTACCCCTTGTCCTATCACTACAGTCCCTAATGAAGAGTCCCTCCCCAGCATCCCTATAGGCCCCCTTCAGATACTGGAAGGCTGCTATGAGGTCTCCACGCAGCCTTCTCTTCTCCAGGCTGAACAGCCCCAGCTTCCTCAGCCTGTCTTCATACGGGAGGTGCTCCAGTCCCCTGATCATCCTCATGGACCTCCTCTGGACTTGTTAATAATATGAAGTGATCTTCATATTTGTTATGGTCCTTAGTAATACAAATAGGTAGTATTTATCTTTACTAACCAAAGTCAATGACTTCTGAAGTACAGCAAACCACTTATTTAAAGCTTTAATTTACCAACTTGCTTGGCAAAATGCTGAATAAAAAAAATTACTATGGAATATATAAGAAAATTATTATAATAATTAAAATTTATGCTCAAGTTGGTATCAGTTACAAGCATTTTCAAATATTTATCCATAGAAAAGTTATTTTTAATGCTAAAATATCATAAACCAAATATTTGTTATTGTCAGTTATTTTATTTTTAGAAAACAGCCAGTTTTTTTCTTTATTTAATTTATATTTAAAGTACCCGTTCTTGCCTATAGGCTTTGCTATACAGCTTTGCACATCACCCTACACTAAAATATTAATATTACAGTAATCTAAGAATTAATATTTTATTAAGTGATATCTATTTAACTTTAGTAATTAGTTATATACTTTGCAAAATCAGATACTACCTTGAATATAAAGTGCATCTGTTGTTACCAATATTGTACCCAATATGATAAACCCAGATACCTGACATCAGAGCAAAATCCACTGCAATTAAAAATCAAGTATGATTGATAACAAGGACATCATATTTCTAAGGACAACTCTAATCATAAGGCTGTAGTTAATATATAAATACGGAGAAGCCTACAGTTCTCCAAACAAATAATGGCAGAATTATATACATTCTTCATTTAAAGTCAGATATGAAGCACATTTAAAAATTTCAGTTTTTTTTATGTTGGATTGCATTTTTGTTCCCTTTATTAAAGAAGAGAGTGTTTAAGGGGAAAAAACAAACATTGTGCAAGCTCAGAAGGTCTCCTAGGAATTGATGGACAGACTGCATCAATCTAGTGAAAGTAAACCTGTCGGATTTTGGTTCTCCCCAGGGAGATGAAGTGATATAGTCACTTTTAAAGAAGCGAGGCAAGGCTTCAGCTAAATAGTTAAGCTCAGAAATAGGTAGACAACACTTGGTCATGGAACAGCTTTAGCCATTCTCCTTGTAATTTGTGATGATGCCACTATCTGTCTTTTTTGTAGTAACTAGTCAATGACCAAACCAGGGGTGATGGGAATACTGGTATTGCCTGTCCTGTAGTTGAACCTCTGTATATGCCATTACATTGCTGCTAACAGGAAACTGAATATAGGAAAAACTAATATTTGTACAGTAAGAGAAAGAAAAATATCTACAATAAGGAGGGCCTTCCTTTATCACTAGAAATAATTATATGGGAAAATCCAACTTTTTAAGAAAGAAATATGAATACCACAATATGGATATATTTTCTTAATAGAAATATTGTGTAGCTATCTGCCCCATGATGCGTCATGCAAAAATTATCCTGCACATCACATTTTGAGATCATATGCATGTAACTTACAATAAATAATACTTGGCCTTTGTGCTTCTTTACCCTTTTTCCTGCAGTCTGGGAACTAGGCTATTGTCATTAGCTATATCTGCTCTTAAAGGACTGCTAATTTATTTTCCACAGGATTGGCCATCACATCTACAAAGACAGCATCTTTGTCAAACTTGTAAACATTGATATCTGTGGTTATTCAAGAAGCATTCTACAGATTGTACCAGATCAAAACTTTAGCCTCTCCATGCCTTTTTTTTTTAATTAGTGAAAAATGTGGATAATATTATTTACTTACCTCATTTGAATACTACAAGAGTTAATAATTACTATTTGCAGAGCTGTGGATATAAAACGGCATCAGCACTTTGTCAAGTGCAGAAAGTGTTAGGTTTTCCCTTGCACTCCTATTTAAAAATACAACTACCTGAAAGCCTTCCTAAGATTCTGTTCTGAAAGACATATAAAATATATTCTTAAATTTCTATATATTGTTCTTTACCCACTGAAATGGAATCAATGTCTGATATCTAAGTTTTTATCTCCTCTTCTGCTTCTGTCACATACTGTTTTGGGAAGAATTGTTAGAAGGATGTTTGAGGCAAAGCACAGAGAATATTGAAATACTTAAAAAAAAACAAAAAAAGTCAATAATATGATATAGAAGTGAGGTGAGGCACCAGCCCTTTTTTTAAATTAACAACTTGAGCTCCTTCTTAATTTTTTAATTTAATTTTTTTTTTTTTAGGATTTTTCCAATGAGAAAAAAGAGGAAAAAGGGGTGGGGGGGGGGGGGGTGGGGGGAATGATTTTTGTGTAAAATAAGTTATGCCTTTTTCATTCCCTCAATTCTGTTTTGTATTTCAGAGTGTTCAAATTTTAAAAATACATAGAAGCAGATATATATGGATTGCTTGGGTTTTTTTTACGAAACTTCTGCTTTATAACCTATAAGTAAGTGCTTCAAAGTCTGATAACAAGAGCAAAAGAAAGATAATCCCTATTTATGGTATTGCTCAAGAAATACTAATTTCAGTTAGAAGGCAGTGGGGAGAATTAAAATATAAGTGAAATAAGAGTGAAATATGTGTGTGCCACATTTGAAATAACTAATCAATCTACAATTAAAGCCTGTCACTGTCAGAGATGGAAATCCAATATATGTATCTCAGATTTGTTCAGAGTATAATATGCTTTCACGTCCTTATAGAACATAAAAATGACGAGATGAGTTTTTTTTCCTCACAAATGCTTTTCAACAGGAAAAAAAAACTACAATTTTTTAACAACAGTAACAGGATTCAGTCTACTTCTTTTTTATTCTGATATGAATTAAAAAAAAAAAAAATTATTTAGGATTTTCTTAGATCACCTTCTTGTTTATTCCAGAAGGCAGGATTACCGGCTATGTTACTCTAAGCATAATTCAGAGATTTCCTTGGTACAATCAGGGGACACCATGCTTCCTGATACTATAATTCAGAAAGGAAACTTGGTTTATAAAAATAGTAATATTTTCCACAGCATATTTTCTGATTCAGAGTATTTTTCCCAAATACCTTGCTTACCAAAGGGGGGGGGGGGAGGGTAGAGGAAGAAAAAAACAAACAAACCAAAAAAACCCACAAAACAAACCAAAACCTACAAACAAACAAAAAAATAACCAAAACTTCACCAAGAAACAAAACCTAAAAAAAACATCCTTCACCTTTCTGACTGGGATTATTTGAAAACATAATTTTGGCAAAGGTTAAACACTTCTCCTAAACTTACTTCTACTTTCATAACGGAATTCAGTACTAAATTTGTGGTGCTGATATAAATAAATAAAAAAAAAAAAAACCACAGAATTTTTCATTTTTCAACACATTCTGTATACTATTCACTTCAGCTGATGAAGTGACTTCTTGGTGACTTCACACCCAGCAAGTGCATTTATTTAAGAAATGCAGATCTCCATGCTATCATAAACTCATCCATTTATCTAAAAGCCCACCAAGAACCCTACTGAAAAGTACTTGTCCATATGAGATCAGCAAATAAAATAGTTAAAAGATGCAAAGGTTGCATACTTCAACATACCATGTCCAGGCATCACAGTGTTCCTCAAATGTTTATTACATTTTGATATTGCAGAACACTGTACAATTTACCATCACAGATTATCCCCCTTTTGGGATTAAGAACTATGAAAACACCTGAATTTGAACAATTAAACTCCGAAGTCCAGAGAGTCTACAGAAGCAGGTAAATAAATCAGGAACATTGGAAAATTGATTAAACAAGAACTTCTACTTAGTTTCAAAAGCTTAACTGCTTGAAACTGAAAATCATGCAAGAAGTGTTGAAAAGTTGCATGTAGGGCATAGGACTAACTGGTGAAACTTCCACAATGAGAGTCACTGATTTTATCATTTCAAATCATCCCGTACAGAGAATAACTATAAAGAGCAGAAGATATAGAGGGTCAGATTCTAAAGGGGGTGGAGATACAAAGTCACTTACTATTTTTTCTTTCACTGCTTCCACATGGTCAGTTCCTGGCACAGGTGCTGGTTGAACAGGAATTTCTTCTTCCTGAGTTTTATCTGCTTTCAAAACCACTTGCGAAGTACCAGTTGTCAAACCTTCTTTCTTAACATCCTCTTGCTTCTTAGCTTGCAGACCCTTGTAAGGGGCATCAACTTCTGGTTTTTGTTCAGCAGCATGGTCTTTAGCCTCAGCTATAATTTGTTCTTTTTTGTCCTCTGGGTGTGGTGTGCTCTTCTCTGGGAGCACAGGTTTTTTATCTTCTTCCAATGCGCTCAGGGGTTTCTTTTGGTCTGAACTTACTGTTGCAGGAATTTTATCTGCTGAAAGTATCTTTGACAGTTTTCCTTGCTGAAGTTTTGATTCTTCTTCTTGAGCCTCCTGTTGGATTTTCTCCACTGATGTTTTCATGATTTGCTCATGTTGAAGTTTTGGATCTTCTTTCTGAATTCCATGTTGGATTTTATCAGCTGAAGCTGCCTTTGACAATTTGACCTCCTGAAGCTGTGCATCTTCCCTCTGAACTGAAGGCTGGATTTTGTCAGCTGATAGTGCCTTTGCCATTTTCAACTGCTGGAGTTTTGGGTCTTCTTTGTGAATCCCATGCAAAATCTTGTCAGCTGAGGGCATCTTTGCCAATTTTGCCTCTTGAAATTTCAGGTCTTCCTTTTGAACTCCATGCAAAATCTTATCAGCTGAGGATGTTTTTGCCAGTTTTGCCTCTTGAAATTTCGCATCCTCCTTCTGAACTCCATGCAAAATTCTATCAGATGAGGCTGCCTTTGTCAGTTTTGTTTGCTGGAGTCTTGGGTCTTCCTTCTGAGAAACACGTTGGATTTTATCAGCTGAGGGTGTCTTGACAAGTTTTCCCTGCTTGTGTTTTGCATCTTCTTTTTGAATTCCTTGCTGGATATCTGCTGACAATGTTTTTTCCAGTCTCCCCTGTGGAAATTTTGGAGCTTCCTTCTGAATGCCTGATTCTTCTTTTGGTTTTGCTGCCGCTGGAGTAGGTGGTGTGGAAGTCTTCTGAGGGGAATGTGAGACAGCAGGCACAGGCTGTTTTTGAGGAGAGGCAGGTGGTTTGGGTACTGGCTGTGAAGGGCCTGATTTCAGAAGTGGCACCTTGCTCATATCCCCAAGTTGTCCTGACATTGCCCTTTGGGTCTGGCAGTTTAAGCACAGCCATTCCTGTACCTGTGATACAACAAACATAGGAAGTTACTTAATTTGAAAACTTAACAGTAAAATTATATTTTTTCAACTGATACAGTTGAATACTTTTAATCTGAATGCTATGCATACTGAGAAATTTTTTTGTTTGCTGTTCTTGCAGGAAGATCCATAACCTTTTTGTAATGGAAACAACGCATGTCAGGTTCCAGAAAGCGGAGCTGAACAGATAAAAAAGCACTGTGAAAACTAATGGCAATTACATTGTTCCAAAGTACTGGTGACCTTTATGTACTAAGTTTGCTTATACATTTCTAACACCTATTGTTTTCTAAAGCCTCTATGATCTATTAATAGGTCCCTCTAATTTTGTAAATTTGAGTAAAAGGTGACCAACTGGGACTCGTGTCTGTGGTTTTCTTCAGAAGTTACCTTCCCTTCTTGAATTTCTGTACATGTATCAGTGTATTAATTTAATCTGACTGTAAACCAAAAGGAACATCACCCGTCTGCTCTCTTTACTGCTAAATCCCTGCTGCACACTGGTTCCTTTTTGCTCTTCTTCCCAGAAATCAGAAAAAAATGACAAACGCTTATATCTGTGCAAAAGATCTCATTGCCAGTTGCCTAGCTACTACATGAGAGCAGTTTTCAGACTGTTTCTAGTGGGATTTGGGGTACAGATTCTTTAGAATAGCAAAAGGAAATTTTTAACACAGAAAAGTACTGGAAGGAAAGAAAAAGCCCAGAATTTTCTGGATACTTTAACAGACAATGAAGCTTTACTTCACTACTTCGACATGAGCTTCACTGGAGGATAAGAGGTCTATGCAGTTCACTAAAATCTTTTAATGCTTGTTTTTAACTACTTTTACTGTGATGATGGAAGGTCTAAGCAATTCAGTCTTTGTATTTCTCTGATTTAGAGAACCTAGTGACCTACTGAATATGAATCCCATGAAAAACAGCAAAATTGTTCTATTAGTAATTATATAGGTAATACTACTGATAATATCAGGATAGTGCAGATGACTGACCAGTTATATGCCACTGAATATTTTATAACATCCAGTGGTAAATAGTCAGTTGCCCAGAATATGTGCCATTTACTCAGAAAGGTTTTCTGGCAGAATTGTGCAACCTCAGAAACATTCATGCATTTTATATTAACAAGTAATATAGTAATAAATGAAACAACACAAAAAAACTAGAAACTGGAACTGAAGCTCTGCTCTTGCCTGCAAAGGATGTCCAAATTACAAGGTGCAAGTATCAGGCTCCCTGGCCTCTGACACCATAACCTGCCCTTTTCAGTGTAAAGAGGGAACTAACTTCAACAAATGCTTTCGCAGGTTTTCCTTCCAGGAGTAATCAACAGTGGGTGATGCCAGCCCATTGTCATTCATATAGCATCTCTCAGTGACACAGATGTGATGATGACCACAAAGGGCTTTTCAAAGCAGTTAAGAAGAAGGGAACATCCTTCTGTTCATCACTAATGAGCTTATGTGCTCAGCTCTCACATCCCAACCAGAATATTTCTGAGCGAATTGGTGTTTAGTAAAGTTTCTGTGCACAGTAGGTGTGTCCAGATTTTTGGTACCTTTAGAAATTAAGTGGTTTTGAGATTAGTTGGCTTCAAATGCTTTCAATAATCTAAAATCTGCCAAAACCTCAAATTATGAAGTGTATCCGCATAGTTCAGATCCAAATCCCATTGTTAAGTGGCTCTTGCTTTTTAATTGCTTTTCAAATAAGCAAATTACCACTATGATGCTGCCCTTTTGAAAAGAAAAAAAAAATAGCTAGTTAGTTCTGCTGAAAAAAAAAAATAAGAAGAGGCTATTTTAAGTATTTTTCTGTATTTTTAGTAATTTTTTGACAATTTTGGTACAGGCACAAGAAATTCAAGAATGCATACTTTAGCATTCAGGTAATTAACAATTGTCACTAATAGGCACTATACCCTATACAACTGCAAACTGAATATGGCTCTGTCTATAAATAAAATTCAGGTTTAGTTTTTCTGAGGAAAAAAGCATTAAAATATAAACCTCCAGGGAAGATTATCCTCCTCCATAGGACTTAACGTACTCCAACTACACGTCATTTATCTGGGAAGCACTAATTAAAAAATGCAAATAAAAGTAACTTATATTTTAAAGAATGTAAAATATAACAGTTATTTTGCAATTCTGTTCTCTCTGGAAATTTTACTACACTTCATTTTTATGGGCAGCAACATTTTTTTTTTTTTTCTAGAAAACAATACTGGAAGCCATAAGTATTTTGTGAACTGTCTTCTATAAACTTAAGAAAAAAGCAACATACCAGGAAAGAAATTTTGCCCAGAGAAAATCATGATGTTAGTATGATCAGGAGTCTGTAAGTCAACATTTAATATATATATAAATGAAAACTATAAAAAAAAAGATCCAATTCCAGAGTATCCTTGATTCTTTTCTCATAAAGTTTGTAAAGACCACTACACAAAGTTGACTAGGTAATCATAGCGGATTTTTTGTTTTCCAGTTAAACTTATTGGAGGGCTCAAAAGCTTTTAAACCCAACCTAAAGAGTGGGCAGGTTTTGCATTCTCCATTCAGCCTGACAAATACTCATTTTACAAAGTAAGCAGAAATACTACCATTATTTGTGCTAGCGTAGCTTCTGTTAGCATGTAACATGGGAATAAGCCAGTACTTACCTGTTAATAAGCTTCTCAGAATCTAGACTTAATTAATTTCATAAAAACATAATTAAATGGCTATTATCATGAAATAATCCATGCTTCAATAGTTTGCTGAATTTCACGTACATGCTATATAGATATTCTTAAAGAACATGCTACTTGATACATTAAATTAATGTTATTCTCACAGTACCATTTGTTCGTGACACAATTTTTATTTATTTCTTTATAATATATCCATATCCAGTTTCTAGGGTTTCCATGTTTGTTTCTTTTCTGTACACACACATTTGTTTCTTATTACTTCTCCTAGCTCTGCTGGTTATGTAGAATCTATTTAGTATCCCTTCAGCTGAAGCTTACTCATGCTGCTCACAAACTTGCTTCATCTCAGATTCATCAAGTCACTTCCCCCATTTAAATCCTTCACAGATTCAGTTCTTTGAACTGCCTATAGTAATTTTAGGAACTTCAGAAATAGTATTAAGTGTTTAAAGATCAAAATAGTTACCCAGCCACTCTTTCCTCAGCTTTGCTCACCATCCCTATTCAGTATCTCTGGAGTAAAGCTTTTCAACTCAAGGACTGTGCTTTGAGCTTAGCACACAGTAGAGTAAGTCTTGAAAATAAAAGTAATTACAATTAACATGAGCAAGGGAAGGTGATGATGAGGAAATTGGCAGGCTACACTAAATCTTGTCAAGAGATGAGAATCCCAGTCTTGCCTCCTTTCAATATTGATGCAAGTGATGCTAGTGAAATGACCTGGAATTGTCCAGATTGACAGTAATTTACTGAACCTTGAATTGTGCTCTTGGACTTTTGTTATATCCACATCTATTTATTACTTTCTTTTTTAGTGTTGCTATATATACATGACAAATACTTCTCTTGGGCTATGTGTTTTAAATTCCAGTCTAATTTTTTATAATAATGTGGATATTTGATCACAAAAGGGCCAACAAGAATATTCTTATATCACCAGCCCTCAGATCCTGATTGTCTGACAGAATGGTTCCCTGTAAAATCAAATTTTGTACCATGAAGTCATGTGCCTCAGTTTTAGACTTGTCTTCTCCTCAGTTAACCTCATGCCCTAAATGAAAGCTTTTCCCTATGGTGATCTTTTCAGTTAGCCTGTCAACTCAAATTTATTAGGATGCGGGAAATTGAAATCATCTTCTTTTAGCAGTCTTCACTAAATAAATCTTCTTAGTTCCTTACAGAATTCTTCACACTCTTTGGTTCCTGAATTAGCAGTAGATCCAATTATTGGCATCCCAAGTGCTACTACTCTGCTTTACCATTCTGAATCCATGCCTCTCTCCTAGCAATCCTTACAACCCCATATCATTGGACTGAAGAAAGTAGCTGTGTCAAAGCGTTCTTCTCATTCAGTTTCATAATAAATAAATGTCATCAAGAAAAGGGCAAACATTTAGCGTTCATTGTGAATGTCAATTTTTCACTCGACATGCAAGAGCTCAGCACTTCAGTCCTTTGCTTTTGCATTCCCACACCACAATGCTAGATACTTCCATGTTGAAAATAACAGATCCGCTGTTCCACCTCCCTGCCAGTCAAGGATTTTTTTTTTTATTACAGTATACTGATAAATTCATTACACATTCTTGGAAAACGCTAATTGGTAAACTGGAGTTTTTCTCTAGCTGAAAGTAACTCAAAATACTTACTATGTTTGTGAAGGTGAAAACAAATGCTTCTTCCCATAAAATATCTCTAAGTTACTTCAGAAGGCAAATGCTTTAGTTTTGTCATGGTTAGATAATTTTTTTATGCCCCATACCTGGCAATGTTCAAGGCCAGGTTGGATGGGGCTCTGAGCAACCTGGTCTAGGGAAGGTGTCCCTGCCCATGACAGGGGTTTGGAACTAGATGATATCTAAGGTCCCTTCCAATCCAAACTATTCTATGATTGCATGATTTATCTCTTTGTAATTCTTCCTCTTCACTGCTCTCAGTAAAACAAAATAATAAAACCAACACAGGAATGAAAAATCATTAAGAAATAAATCTCTGTAAAATTAATACCCTTCTGATTTCACTATCTAAAATTATCCATCTTGAAGATAAGAAAGAATAGAGATAGGAAAGAATTTCCAAAAATTGAGCTAAATCAAATTCTGCAATGGAAATTTAAACAAGCACCAAAATATTTTATATCCTTGTAGATAAAAAGATATCTACAGTGCAGTTAAGATTCAGAGTTAAGGTATGGTCCACATAATATATGCTTTAATCATGAATTTTTATAATAGATTGATCACAAGCAAATGTCACACTCTTGCTTTTAGGGGAAATGGGCACACTG